CTATCTTTCCATTTTTCTCAAAATTTTGAGCTTTTTTCGCTGAAAACGCTTCGCGCTAAAAGAGAATCATGTTTGAAAATGGCGCCGATAATAACGTCAGCATCGGTTTTCAATCACTTAGAACTTTTTTAGTAAACTTTTAAACAGTTTAGTAAAATAACAGGATGTTGGTAATACCCTAAACTTTCGATAGTGAAGTAGCAACCTTAACTTTGAAGTATTTCGCTTAACTTTTGCAAATTTCACTCGTTTGACCGCTGTGAAATAGCGGACAGGAGACTAGGATGAAAGCATAGACGTTTGCTTTTGTTTCATGAAGAAAATACAGTGATTTAGCGTGCTGGGAAACATTTATGTAGATGATGTCAAAGTCTTTGGTCTTGGGAGTTTCTACATGACAGACTGTGTGGGTGCTCATTGTGTTGTATACCTGCACTTTAAGAGGCTCTGACCTCCCTCTACAAAAAGACTTAAGAAAGTGTCTTGAGATGTTTCGCGCAATTTTACTTAAAACCGTAGGGGTCATGCGACAGTGCCTTATAATAGGCTATTTGCATGATGGCGTCATTTTACTACTATGACCAGGATCCTTGAGGGTTTTGCTTTCGTATGCAAATTAGAGCTTTTGTTATTTAACCCTCACTGGGATTGCCAAATTTTAAATATGAAAAGAAAAACGAAAAGAATTCTGGTCGTAGTAGTAACAAGACGCCATCGCGCAAATGGCCTATTGGAAGCTTAACTGTCGCCAATACTATCCAGCTGTAAATTGTAGGAAATAAAATATTCCAAATTCCATACTCTTTTTAGGCGAAAGCATCCTCGGAGAAGCCAATTGGAACAATGGCATTCTTGTCACCATAAACTTTTGCCCATGACAATAGATGCCATCGTCCTGTCTGGCTGCTGGCTGGTTTAATATTGGCGGTTGACGTGGAAGAAAACTGCGTCGCCATTTTGAATTCATATCTTACCTTGAGCTCATCGCAACCATGATGTCTCACAAATTCAAAATGGCGGCATGCAGGCTTACGTGATAATTCTCTTGCGAACTCTTTCTTTCAAATTTTATCTCATTCCTAAGCATATATACGCGTTATTTATGAAAAGACAAGGGGGCAAATTCTCCTGAGACTTTCACTGAGAAAACAAGACATACAAGCTACAGAGGTCTTTTATTTTCCAAATTTTATAACGATAGACAACTGACGAGATATATTGTTTTCTTCCTATAGGGCAGTGGCGATATAACAGGAGGTTGCAGGTGTCGCGTTGGAGGAAAGAAGTGTCATCCCAGATGTAGAAACTGTCACTAATTACACGATCCCCTATAGAATTTTCAATAAAATGTTAACGTTACGATAAGGTAGTTTAGCTTGAGAAAACAGCCGGCAATTCGCGACGCAGGGAAAATGTTGGTTGCGTCACGAAAGGCCTGCTGTTTTCTCAGCCTTTTTGTAGTTCAGTTGCAAAACCTAAATATTTAAGAAGGAACTTTTCAATAAAGTGCTGACAATTCCGTTTGAAACCATATCAAATATTTTTGAAGAGACATATTGTACATATTCACAAAATATTTTTTAGGTTTGATTACCTTTACTTAGATTCAGGTTAACCGGCTTTTTTTTTCAGAAACTGTACTAAATACCTAGGGGAGTGTTTTGTGAGTATGTCGCAACACTGGGTACCATATTTTATCGACTTAAACTCTATCTATTCAGTTTATGCCATTTTAGGCTAATGGTTATTTCTGGAAAATTCAATTCATTTCAAGTGATTTCCTTTGTTTTTTTTTGTTTTTTGTTTTTGTTTTTTTCATATATATATATAATATAATATTGGGAAGTTATGACGGCTAATATTTGCACAAAAGAATTATTTTTTCTCATTTTAAGGGGCCTGGGGCCCGTTTCTCGAAGCTCCCGGTAATTACCGGGCCCGTTAAGCTGTTTTGTTTTCATTTTAGAAGGAAGTTTTAAAAGTTTTGAAAATTATACAGTAGAGTTGTTAGCTAACGAAACAAATGGACTTCATTAGAGGTCAGAACACACCCTACTTTTCTTGAGACTTTGATTTAAAAATATGATTCCGGGCCCGTTAAGTTACCGGGACTTTCGAGAAACAGGCCCCTGTTTACGTGGATGTGGGGGACCCGAGGTAGGTGAGGTAACCTGCGGCGGGTTACCTCACCCACCTGGGGTCCCCCACCTCCATGTAACAGGCCCTAAGACGTTTGTTGCCGTTTAAGTACTTTAGCCGGGTGTTGGGGCTAAAGTATTTATATAAGAAGTACACAACAAAATCGCTTGCCATACAACGAAGCTGCGATAGAGGGCAAGAATTGGTAAACAAACTGAAAATTTCACGTGTGGAAAAGCGAAAACTCTAGCGTTGCGAATTTTATTATCCAAAGGCTACATTCATACACAAAATAAAGGACGTTCAACTCTCAGAGATGGACAGTCTTGTACCTTCATGTCCTGACAGATCAGCAACAGCGCTTTACGACTAGATTCCAATTTTATACGAGAGGGACTACGCTATACACTTTAGACACATTCCTTCAAAAAGCCCACAGCTTTAGCCTGAATTTCACTACAACATAGCAACGATTTGAAAAACAAATTGAACTTTTGTTGTGATAACAAGTTATCCAACGGGTGTGATGGACTTGATATACGTTGTTTGACGCACGAAATCACGACTTGTTTGGGTTTGACTGGTAAAGTTGTTTTGGATAATACCCGCGAGTGTAGAAATCGACGTGCGTCCTTAAAGTTTTCAGAATGAACAGGCGCTAGGCATTAAGGACTATTACTATTCTAGTTACATTTCTCGTTTTATTTCACTTGGTTTTTTCTAAAGTAAACTACTACTGGTAAAACAGCGTATCTAAATCTGAATTATTTACAAACTTACTTGAATTTTCGACGAATCAATAAATAAACGTTACCAGCTGCGTTTCAGCGTTACAAGTGAGTGGTGTTATGGAGTGACTTCTTCAAAAACAAAATGAAAGTCTTGACATGATGATACGTACGCGATCTTTGATATTAGAAAGCTGAAATATTGTTTCGAAAGAGTGAGAGGTGGAGAAGGTATGGACGCATTAACACTGAGAACCGGGCACAAAAACTTTAGTTTATACCAAGCTCCCTTTACGTTCTCGACTTCACAGCAACCGGAGGCTCTGGTGACGAGATGGGCTCTCCTGCTTAAAAAATGGTTTTGTTGTGTTCGTTATCACTGAAATCCCGCAACCTTACATTCATTTTCATACTAATGTTTGATGAGGTTATAGAATAACATACCGATTTTCGATAAAACATTATTTTTCACATAAATAAAACAAGCCATTTTTTTTTAAAAAAATAAAGTAAAAGAAATGAGAAAGTTATTTATAAGTCCTACTGAAAATCAACCAATCAGCATCGAGTTACTTTGGTTTTGGTCCCAGTCTCTTCACACTTCCACTCTGCAGCCTCTTTATCAAAAGCGTAGTTTCAAGCTTGGTCCCAGACTCTAGCTGATCAGCTGTGGTATTGAACGCTCGCCCCAGATATTTATCAATAACCTCGGCCGGAGCTTCAGGATCCACTGACTGTATGGCCTGACGCACCATCTCTACAGACACTTCACTAAGAATAAATAAGGGTGGGATTAACCTGCGGGTATTATTTTGTGACCCCCTCCTTTTCCACTGTAGATTCTCGCATTGTGTTAAAGCCTCGACGTCTTTCTTCAAGTAATTGTATAAACGAATACGAACTTTAGAACCATAGAAACATAAACGTTGACGTACTTGCTACGTACGCTTTTAAATTTAGTGCACTTGACACAATAAACACATTTTCCTAGTCCCCATCACCGTCAAAAGCTGTTTTCGTATAAAACTGCCCCACACAAAAAAATGTGATTACCAAAACAACACGAGGACAGGAAAAAAAGTGTCCGTAAAAGTAGAATGAAAATGTTGATATATTTTATCAACAAAACAAGAACCTTTAAGCTTATCTTACCTGTTGCCTGTCAGGGCATTTTCGATCTCCTTTACATACAAGGTCTTCTCTAACTTTTCTTGCTCTCGTATCCTGTCCACAAATGGTCCAGATCGTCCTTCTTCATCCTTGTTACAAACAAAAGGTAAATTGATGGTAAAGATAACTCTTTTCGAGACGGACACGGTTGGATTTGTTGCAAAGTGTCCGCCTTGGAAAACTGTCTTTCTGATAAAGAGTCAAAGGAAGATGGCTGGAGAATGGCAAAGATCAACCCTAAGTGACCGTTTCATAGCAGTGCCCTTTAAGAGAGGGGTTGTAGACGATTGACTGGTTTCTGTGATGATAATTATTTACATGAAGGCCCTATAATAAGAATAAGATTTCCGATTTTTTGAGAAAACATCAAATGGGCTTGAAAAACGTTTCCAAAAAAAAGAGGTTAAGGATTATTCACGAAACTCTTCGACTAGAGGTCTCGTTAAGCGAATCGACATTTCGTATCGTAAAAAGATTTTTCTTGAACTTCTCACCTCAGTAAACAGGTTTTTGTATTGAACATTTTCTCCAGGTGACTCTTGTTCACAGGCTTTCATTAAAACTTCTATCGATTCGTCATCCTTTAGCGGGAAGAATGAACGTAAGCACTGTTCAAAGTCTGCTCTTGACAACGATCCCTGGAAAAACAAATAACGGTACTACTTTTGAAAATAATCCTTGTAGTAATAACTGTTAACATATTAAAGCCTTAGAAAATCAGATTGCCGCATTTTTTGTTCAGTCAGTTTGAAAAACTTTTTGGATGAGGCTGGGTATGATATGAACAATTATGCAGATCGAGGAGGTGTTATCTGACCCTTATCTGCCTCTGTCTTTGACTTTCTGAGAGGACCCTGGGAATAAGGTTGTCAATATTGCAAGATAGCAGCAGGGATGTCACTAAGATTTCCAGTTGCCAGATAAACACAACAAGTAGGCAAGGAATCAAACAGCTAGGGATGTCTTTTGGTTCTATTTTTCTTCTATTTTCCTATGCGACAAGCCGGGGCCATGTTTATAATAGCCGGGGGGAGTCCCCGGCCCCCGGCTCTTAATGACAGCCCTGTCGCAGTTTTGAAATGACTCCTGGATTCAAACCTTTCACAGTCCTGTAGCAGTTGTCCATAATTTGATATTATCCCCTAATTGACGTCTGTGACTGACGTCAACGAGAGGATAATAGCACTGAAACCCCTCGGTTCCAAATTTGGTCAGCTAGTTATGAAGAATTGGCCAAGGGATTAAAACCAATCGGAGATGAAGAAGTATTTTGAATGACGAATAATATTACATATTTGGTTATACTCACGGCAAAGAGATAATAAGAGCCATCCCTTACCTGATTTCCCGCTGCCAGATCAACTTTGGTGAAGGCGTTGTAAAGTTTTTCTAACATCACTAACTGATCGTGGTATACTGCTTCATCGATCTAAAAATTGAGGTTACTACAGTCACTTTTATATCCAGAAAGTGAGACACGAAATAAATATATAATTAATTCAGTATTGCGCATGTATGCAAATAGTTTTGCTTTACGTACCCGTATATCCGTGATCGACTTAGATATCATTGGAAATGAGGGAAATAAGAGACCCTTCAAAGGGGCAGGGAGGTATCTCCCTTATAAACAGTGGGTCCGAAAATAGAGGAAGTGGAAGGCGAAAGCTATTGCACTGGTCCAATAACCAACCGACTGTGCAATAGCTGCTTCCTAAACTCAGCAAAGTACACCATTTACAATGCCATCGCAAGCATGTATTTCGACAATATTAGAGACTATGATTATACCAAGGAAAGTAAGTACGTAAAGAAAAGTCATCATTATTCAATACCTCCTTCTGTAGTATTCCATAGAACAGACCAACCCTTGGATCATGTGTGTACCGACCGCAGGCATCATACAGGTTATATCCCCACTCTATAATCATGTTTTCTACACCGAAACGCCTGTTGAGGTACTGATACAAGAACTCGCCCAAGTCTTCACGCTCTCCGTCTGGTTTCTGCAAAAATAATAAGAAAATCAAAATTACACTGCGGTAATTTGCACAATGGAATGCAAGCGTTCACTTGAAAGAGATTCTCAAACAGGATTCCAAGATACGCAAGAGGATAAACAACTGCGGTCGACTCCCTCATCGCATTGTAACTAACTCCCAACAACAAGCAAACAACATACAATAGGGTGTGCAAACGGACGCAACATTTAACATCTAACAATGTTGCGTGCGTTTATATGGGGCTTAAAGCAATAAAAAATTCCATGAGGCAAACGAAACGGCTATACAGTATGCTAGCTTTCCCTAACAACCCAGGCTTACTACAAAGTCGTTTAATATTAATAAGTAATTCAACAAATGAGACAAATGGATGCTTAAAAATAAAGCAGATACCAAATTCGACCGAATAAATACTGCAACCCAAGGTAATTTCATTCTTGTGTAAAAATTTCGCTCCTTAACCGCACGTTTCAACAAAGTAAATTTGTATCCTCAGTGTGTATGTTTGTCCGACTTGCCTCTCAGAAAGAAGTTTTCGTCGATTATCTTACCTCAGCATCATGAGCTGCTTTTTCCTGCCAGATATCTTTGATGAGAAGTGAAGTGTCTCTCTTACCGAGACGTCTGTTTCGCACTTGACCATCATAACGTAAAAATTTAGGCACTTCTGGACCGGTACCCTGCAGTAAAAGAACATTTATAATTAAGACTGAAAGTGAGACCGACCAGCACAACGATAAAAATGACAACTTAGTGAACTGTTCCACAACTACCAGAAAGTCAGACAGTAGAAACAAATCAGGGCACGAAGCAAAATTCCGCATCTTGCGCCCTCAGCATCAAACGCAAGAAAAAATGCACCCAATGTAGAGCAATATAGAATGTCCAAGCATGGCCAGTGAGGCCCAGAAACACGTTACCCGACCAGTGGTAATCTAGAGGCGGTATCAAATGAAGAAATACAGAGGACCGGAGCATAGGTGGAGGATAGAGTCGTACCGTGTCTTTTAAAGGGGAAGGATGACCCGTGTTCAAAGCCCTTGTCCACGCTTGTAAAATGGTCAACTGATGTAACATCTTCCTCTTGGTAACTTTCCTTATTGCGCGTGTCAGATAAATCTAAATTAGCCGGCTGAAACCCAGTGCTCATCCTGCACTGTAAAATTTTGTCACCCACATTCACTTGACCGTTTTCATTACCATTATCTACACCATTCCCACCACAACCATCAGCGTGTTTATCATATTAAACCATACCATCGTCATTGTCATCACGAGTCATGAGCCATAGCTCAGTTGTTTTACATCATAACCATCACAGAGAGTTGAAATAATGTAATGTAAACTACAAGGATCATGCGTGTTTTTCGGATAATTTTTACCTGTCCTTGAAAGTATTCAGCACCAGTGCTAACACCAGCCTGTATAATAGCAATATCTTGTCCTGTCATCTCCGCTAGTAACACATCCACTAGCTCATCACTGCTTCTGTTCTGAGACAACTCATTCCATCGATCTGTTCCTCCTTCAACATACTGTGCACACTTCTCCCAATGAGGCCTACATATGGAAAGAATAAAGGAGTATGGAGGTGCAAATAAAACACGGTACTTTTTGTTATCTACCGAGTCGATCCACGTCCTCGAATCTAAAGTTTTCTAATAATATAAGTGAGACCTCTGTAATACGGACTCTGTCCCTTTGTTGCCCATATTATGAACACTTCACTGTACAGCCGGCCAAAAGTACTTACCTGGGCGTGGCACTTCTTCTCATCTGTTCACAGTCGTGTGCGTACTGATCTCTCTGATCCACCACCTTCTTGTGCACTTCAAGAATGGCACTGAAAATTTCAATGAAAAAGCAGATATTTGTATATTGTACCTTTTGACAAGACCTTACGGAGAGCAGAGTGGGTCTAACAAACCAGGTCAATAATATCACTGAAATACACGAACTTCTAAACGCTTTGAGCTATTTCATTGTTTTGCCTGCAGACTGCTGACTTTCTCAAGTAAAATTGGTTGCGCGTATAATGCTGAATCCCTGGTTCGAGCAAAGTGTGCTCGAAGGATTAGCTAGCCTCCTACCCAGTCGTTTTTGGGGCGGCCATGTTTCCCCTCAAGGCTCTCAAGCTATAAACGACTGCATTGGGAGCAAAGGGTTTACGTGATGGACTCAGGGTCAGCCCAGTTGTGAGTCTGCCTGACAGGACACTTTGAGTAGTTTCACTGTTGATTCCTCTGACAAGCGTATAGAATGTAAATGGTGAAATCCCCCCCCCCCTCCCCCCCACCATCCCGTAACTAAAGACTTTTAACTCTGAACGTCTAATTCAACTTTGCTATTTCCAGCGTTTAAACTCTCGGTCCGTTTTACCCTTGCTTAATGAAGCTACAAACTCTAACCAACGGACTCACTTGTGCTCCTGCATTAGCTTCTGATTATCCACGGTAAACGTTTCCATATCTTTCTGTAATTTCTGTAAAAAAATAAAATGAACATCAATTTCTCATTTTAAAAAATGGGACAACGAATATTAGAAGGGGTTTAAGAGAAAGCTACTATTTTAAAGTTAGTTCTATTCACAGAAAATTACAGTTTTGTGAAAGGAAAAGGCATCATACCAATTCGTCTTAAACACAGTAAAGGGAGCGCTTACGTTAAACTGGGCTTCGAGTCTTTCAAAATCCCTTCTCGGCACAACATCTCCATAATCCGCCTCCATTTCTGCCAGCTTTTGACTCTTGGCGTCAAGATCCTCTCTTGCTTTCCTGCAAGAAGGAAAAGCGACGAGAAAAAAGAAAGAGTCAGTGAGAAGGCCTTTCTTTCTCTCTTTTCACTGAGGCCTCTTTCACACGGCACTGAACGAATTTTGTCCGGTTGAAAATTTTGGCGTGCGTGTAGGTGTTCCACTCACACGGAGCGACCTTAACAGTACGAAATTTTAGACGCTTAGCCGTTTAAAGTTCCGTGAGAGCAGAGCAAAAACAATAGACTTAACGGGCTGGTGTGAACGAAGTGTCCGGTCAAATTTTTCAGTCGGTCGAAATTCATCCGTTGCCGTATAAACTTACCCTGAGTTGCAGAATAATGCAGAAGCAGTAATGGGATTTCTTTTCGTTTGTTGTACTTACTTCAGCGCGAGTTTAAGGAATGTGACATCCTCTTTTCCTTCGCCTTCTTCCTCTGCATTCGGTTTCTTTGCGTCTTCTTGTTGATATTTTAGCTCATTTATATCCGCTATCAACATCTTCCTAAAATACGTTGAAAAAATTAAAAGTATACAGGTTATATTGTACTATCGTCGGCAAACGTTTTTCTTTGATGCAAGTAGTTACAGTGTAATGCCTGACTACTTGTACAAAGATCACAAAAGCTGTTAAAACCACTATAAGTTGGTCTCAAATAAGATAAAAAAAGTCATCGTCTTTTTATATGGGGGTTAAAAAGTAGCAAGTATTCGATCTGTACAATTACCAACGAAGTTAAGTTGGACTGTTTAGATGGCAAGTAGTTGAGTAAGAGACTGACGCCGACAATATATGTATTTCCCTTTATGTTCACTTCTCAAGTTACCACTTTTCCCTGAGTTTAGCTTGCGAGTAAGCACTTGGGGGGTGGGGTGGGCGAAAATTCTTCCCTTGCCCTCCCAAACCTCGGTGCCTGCGTTCTGCACCTTATCCTATAGCAATTACTTCTTTGCACGATAAGGCACAACATGCATTCATTTGTCTTTAATACCTGGCATCACACTCGTTTCTATATCGTAAATATTCAGCAGCTAACTCTTCTTGTAGCTGAAATAAAAAAATTTACAATGAGTTGAACGTTTTGTTTCTAAAACACTGAACATCTGCTTGCAAAGAGTAGAGAAAGTAAATTTACTTAAACTTATAAATGAGCTCTTCTTCAGTGGTTTTTATGGACAAATGCAAGATCACACCCAAAGAACTTAAGAAATAGGGGCTTCAGTACCTCTCTAATCTTCATGTAAGTATGATACAGGGCAGGAAAAAACCCAGGTCCAATTGCACGGGGCAAGTAAAAATAGAAGTTTGGTGACCCAGCGGAAAGTATCAGCTTAGTAAATGATAATTTCCAGGAAGAAACTAATTCAGAACTGAAGACTGCAAGATAAGCGAGACAATATTATTATTTATTTGAATTATAGATCAACAGGCGTTGTGTTCCCTTCTGGCAAGGAACATATAAGTGGGGGCAAGTGAAAACTAAAATTTACTTGCCCACTTGGCAAGTGGATTTCAAATTTTTTTTCCTGCCCTGTGATACACCTAATAATGTCACTGATTGACTTATCCCATCTTAACAGCAAATTTTTAAGTCAATAAATTTGTATGTTGTGTATGCACTTGCAATAGTAGGCTGATTTAGAAACAGAAAGGGAACGTCCTTTGTCGACGGCACGTGCAAATTAAACAACTGGCTTGACCAATGGCACAACGGCAAATTGAGCACCGGAAGTCGTGTTTAGTCCTTTCTGCGCGTTTTGCCGTCCTGTTGCTAAATCAGCCTAGTGTATACTAAGCATGAACAGGTTGGATGGGCATCCAACAATGTAATGTAGTGTAATGTAATGTGATGTAGTGTCGTGGATTAAAGGACAACAAGACGTTCCCCCTTTACATTATATAATAATATGTTAACAGTAAGCTCAGACATCAGCATATAAGGGCGCCACTGGCGCTGCTATCAGTCCATTTATGAGCTTACTGTAACCCACCCATAGCCAATGATATGAATGATGTGTGATGCATGAAGGGTAGACCACACCATCAGGGAAACTTCCCCTACTCTTTTTGAACAGTAGTGTGGGCTCTTTTATGTCCCCTTTGATTCCACTAATGAAAGAAGGATGAAGGAGACAAGGCCAATGGCTTATTGTCATCGCCCAATGATGCAATAATTAATATCTTAACTGAGACAAGGTCTCAAATCACAGCCAGTATGACCTCACCAGTTTTTTTAAAGACCCTGGTTGTTGGTCCGGCGGGGGTATGAACCCACGACCTCCCACTCAGCAGACCGGTGCTCTCCCAACTCAGCTAATTACAATGGATGCTTTGGAAAACGTAGATGGATTACAATGGATGCTTTGAAAAATAATTTATAATGAACCTTAAAGTGTACACTGTTTTTCATAATAAACTTTTATAAAGGTTCATCACCTTTTCAACTTGAACTTGAAGAGATATCTGCTCTTCCCTAAAAGAGAAACAGACCATAACATAAATATTTGACCAACAAAAGCAAGCAGATTATACCTTACACATAGCTGTACAAACACAAAGTTCAGCTAACTATTACATAGTCTGCATAGACTAGTAAGCGTTTATATGCTCTCTATCAGGTCAGTGTCCTCAGACAGAAAGCACATTGTGCAGGATGACATGTAAACTGTACCAAGAGGGTGCTAGTTGTTCAATTTTGGGACATGCAGTTAAAGCAAAGCTAGTATGAGTTATTATGATTGTCACAATTGTTGTGTTTACTGAATTTTACTTGATATATAATATATATAAATTTGTTACAGCTCAAAATTAAATTCAGCTTACACTTGTTTAATTTAGGTTGATTCTCAATTTCCTTTGTCTACTATCCCTAGTTGTATGGTTCCAGAAAATATCCATACCCCTCCCACGGAAGATTCTTTGATTTGCACCCCCCACCCCCCAGGATTTTCCAAACCAAGGGGTCTTTGATGACCCCCCCCCCCCCCCTCGGAATTTCCAATGATCTTCCGTGGGGGGGGGGGGGAGGGGGGGTATGGATATTTTCTGGAACCACACATTACTCATGAATTAGGGCTAGGAGACAAAGAAAATTGAGAATCAACCTAGGTTAAAACTTTTTAAGCTGAATTTAATTTTGACCTGTAACATTTAAATGTATGAGTAGAAAGGCTACTGGGTCTTTACCTGAGTCCTGATATTACATTTTGCAGTCTTTGATTTTCCTTCTTCATTTCTAACACATCTGAATACAAATTAAAGGATATTTAGAGGAGATTTGTTGGGCGTGGAGTGGGGAGGGGAGGGGAGGGGGGAAGAGGTTGATAAACTAAGAAGCCACTATCAAAATAGATGGTCTCATATGCAGCCTTTCTTTGTAACATCACACAATGCTTTTCCCACAAAGAGGAAGAGAGAAGCAACGTCTGACAACACAAAGAACAGCTTGTAGTAGACTACAGTGAGAAAGGTTTGCCATTTGAGCTTGAGATATCATTGGTCATTCTTAGCTATTATACATGTAGCTCCATCATACGCATTAGGAGTCGGCAAATTGACATCCTGATATCTCAGAGTTAGAGGGTTACTTGCAGTTCTAACACAAGTTTTGTGACTCAAACCCTAACCCTAATGTCAAAATTTCCACCTACAATAAATTGCAAAAATTTATAAATAATGAAATCCAGCAACTCAAAGTTGGCTTCGAAAGCTGGGCTGTATCTGACAATATTTCAAACTACTCCTTGATATCAGATACAACTGTCCTTTCCTGTGTTTGAAAGACTTCAACTTTAAAATGAATTACTTTGAAATAGGATTCTTTATCCTAGCAGTAACATGGAATTATAAAAATACTTTTTTATTCAGAAAAATAGAGCAAAACCTAGGGACATGTATTTGCATCTACTTGCTTTTCTTTTAACATTTTATAAAAGAATTTTTTGAAATTGAGTTGAATTTTGACTTACTGGCCACTTTTGGGAGTGAAAGAGCGAATGAATCATATATCTCACCAGACTTTTCTTCCTGTTTGACAGCTAACAGCTTCTTCTCACATTGTTCAGAAACTGTCACAAGCATGCTCTAGAAAATAAAATATTAAGCAAATTGAACACCACAAACACACAAGCCTGATAGCCTTTTCCTTGTAACACTTCACATAATATTTTAAGTGTTCATGTTATTTTTTTAGGAAATACCTTTAGTGGCTCCAGCTCTCTAATCTTTTCTCTCTGATGCACCAACATCATCTCATACTCATGCTTTATTGCTGACAGTAGAGGCTTGTACGTCTTAAAATCTTCTATCAAGTATTCAAATACTTCCCTAAAGGCCTGAAAATAAAAAAAGAGAATTTAAAATTTTACTTTTCAGGACTATGAATGGTTTGCACCCTTTTGAGCTTTTCAAATTCTATGAATTTTTCCAAGAACTTTCCTATCTCATGACTTTAGGTTTAGCTTTTCTCTTAAAAAATTTAAAATCTTTCTCTTTTTTTGGTGATGTTTTTCCACCTAACTCAGTTCAACAGACACAAACTCTGGTATCCACCAACATGTGTGTCATTCCCGCTATTTTATTTCTTGTCTCTGTCTTATACTTTGTCCTTGCTTGGACATCTGCACTTAACTAATCTACCAAAAGATATGTACAACATTTTCCATAACTTTCCATGACCAACAATTAAATTCCATGACTTATGAAATATTTATTCTTAAATTTCGTGACCTTCTAGGTTTTCTATGATCTGTATGAATGCTATTATCGTTGTATAGATTGCATCTAGGATCAGTACAACTATCACTACATACCTGCAGTCTTTTCTCACTTGGAACCATCTCAGCACAATCTAGGGAACGTAATTCTTTTTGTAAGAAGGCCTCAAGTTGTTCCAGAAACTTTGGCTTGTGCACTCCCTTGGGCATAAACTCATTTGTTTGTTTGGCCTGTCCAGGGTTTAGATCTGGAGTACTGGGACCAAGAGCATGTGCTGGCCATGTGTCCAAAGTCCCTGCCCTTGTGTCTATATAGGGCTGGAATACAAGTTAATGGAATCAAACCAAAAGCCATGGTTAATTTTAAATGCAAAATTGGAACAGACATTTAATATATTGTGTCAGAGCATATGGCAATTGCTAATGTGTCATGCTCTCACAGGCTAAAATGGTTGTAGCTCACACCACCGTTTCCAAAAACAGCCTCTGTCACAGTTCCACAGTCGGTGGTACTGCTACTACCGTATCCTTGGATATTATTTAAATTCTTTGTGAACAGCTCTAATTCAATCAGTCTTGTCTTCAGGGTCTGTCTTCTTCCTTTCCTCTCTCTTGTTCAGGGGGAAGAGGAGAAAAAAGACCCTGGGAATAATTTCACCAAAAGACAGGTGCATGCATAAATGTTGAAGCTTCGAGTTAACTGACTAACGCATAAGACAAAAAAATATTTATCTTAATTTATTATTTTTATTTTACTCTCTGGTATTCTGCTCAAACAAGATAAACCCAAGATATGAGTTAGAAAAATCATTTAGGACTATCATGAGGAACAAAACTTAAATTAACTTCTATACCTGCAGAACAGAAGCTGAAGGGAGTGCATACTTCTGAGCCCCTGATTGGCCTGTTAGAGTGTAACTTGGGCCCGTAAGTCCAGTGTATTGCTTTACAGCCTTGGTACTTGTGTAAGGAGAGTTTGTAAGAGACCTAGAAAGGAAATGACAAGATTAATTCATCGATCATCGAGCCCAGGTCTGTTGAAAGCAGCTCCCCAAATTATTTAAGCTTACAGGCTACATAAAACTATAAACTATTCTAACAAAACCTATTCCTATCTTTTCTGTTGCCACAGTATTAAGGTTACAAGCGCAATTTTCACAGTTAAAATGTTCAAAAGTACACTACAAACACAACAGTACACTGGGTTTGTATGAAAACTGGTTTAGAAGTTGAAACGATTTTCAGCAAAACGATCATCGCACCAGTTATATCCACACATTGCTAAAACCTCAGCTGTTCAAAGCTTATGCCCAGGATCTTCAGCACCTTTAAACTGCGACATTAATAGGCTAAAAGATAGGAAAATGTACTCACGGTGGAAGTGGAGGAAGCTTTGTGTGGGACATCGTCCTGTGATTTCTAACAAAACCTATTCCTGTCTTTTCTGTTGCCACAGTATTAAGGTTACAAGCGCAATTTTCACAGTTAAAATGTTCAAAAGTACACTACAAACACAACAGTACACTGGGTTTGTATGAAAACTGGTTTAGAAGTTGAAACGATTTTCAGCAAAACGATCATCGCACCAGTTATATCCACACATTGCTAAAACCTCAGCTGTTCAAAGCTTATGCCCAGGATCTTCAGCACCTTTAAACTGCGACATTAATAGGCTAAAAGATAGGAAAATGTACTCACGGTGGAAGTGGAGGAAGCTTTGTGTGGGACATCGTCCTGTGATTTCTAACAAAACCTATTCCTGTCTTTTCTGTTGCCACAGTATTAAGGTTACAAGCGCAATCTTCACAGTTAAAATGTTCAAAAGTACACTACAAACACAACAGTACACTGGGTTTGTATGAAAACTGGTTTAGAAGTTGAAACGATTTTCAGCAAAACGATCATCGCACCAGTTATATCCACACATTGCTAAAACCTCAGCTGTTCAAAGTTAATGTCCAGGATCTTCAGCACCTTTAAACTGCGACATTAATAGGCTAAAAGATAGGAAAATGTACTCACGGTGGAAGTGGAGGAAGCTTTGTGTGGGACATCGTCCTGTGATTTGTAAAATTCACTTACTGTTTTGCTCGGGTTAACTTTTTCTATCGGCCATTTTGTTTGTTGACTTGGTAACCGTTGCGAGCTGGCAACTCGTCCCAGGCTTTTACCGCCATTAATGAAAAAGGTGTGAAGACTGGAACGGTCTTCTCTTCCATTCTATTTTTCTTTATCCTTTGAGATTGTTCTTACTCTTAGTACCTCTCTTACGTAGTATACCTCGGACTAGGCTTTGCTAATTGTTGTTGAGCGGCATCTAGCCAGCCTCTGGTCTGCTACACAGCCGTTGTTAGAGTCGTCACGCAACGCTCCTCCCCAGTAAGGAGCTTTGCGTGACCACGCTAAAAACGGCTGTGTAGCAGACTAGCCAGGGGGAGAAGAAATGGCCTCGAAGAAAATGCTGGCAGCGGATCCGCCAGCGCGGGAGGAAAAGTGACCTTTTCTCGCGTGTTGGTGGCTCCGCCGCCAAAATTTTTCCCGAACTCGCACAAGCTGAGCCTGCTGGCAGGCTAAAGAATATAAAAAGATCAGCCCGGGCTGCAGCATGAAAATCAGCTGAAAACAAATACATAGGATCAACTTTACTCATTTAGCAGGTTGCATTATGTTGAAAACATAGAGTTTGTCTCTATTTTCGTTCAAACGCTTGCAGCAGCGGTTATGATACATGTCTAATGTAGTCTTTTTAATGTCAACAACATGTTATGACAAGCTGTTGATCGAATGATACAGGGTTAACATCATTCAACTGTTTGTTGCTCAACAAACGGCAAGCGATGTTGCAGTTGCTGAATGGGAAGAAAAAAATTCAGCAATTTCAAAGACTGACTGTAGTGTAGTTCCCGGACATTTGACAACTCGTTAAACAGAATGATTAGAGCCAATATTGTTCAGCAAAGTTCAACATGAATATTCAGGGATGGATATTGCTCTTCTCCGCAGGGGCACTCAAAGCAGCTCTCCGTTGCCGGGAGAATCCACTGAGTATTAAAGCTGAAAGGAGGCAAACCTTTCCGGAGGAGACAAAGCCCTATTTCAACATGGTTAGCCTGGGTAGTTGGCGTTTTTAATTCGGCGCGACTGGTTCACATGGGAGAGTCTAGTTGTGATCAGCTTCGCCACTTAGTGCACTTGACGACCCCCGCAAACAAACACGTCTGCTCACCTAGCCTGACCCCCTCTTGACTAAAAAAGTTTTGTAAATCTAGAAATGGTGAACCGTGAGCCAGCTCTTCAATATACATGGCTGCCAGTCTATCTTCGTTCCTATGTGACCGAAAAGAGAGCTTACAATTTAGATGATTAATTTTGTTTCATTTTTAAGCTCCTCATAATCAGTTTTGCCACGTAATATTTTTACAATGTCATAAGGAGCAAATTGATTCTCAATGTGAGTACACCTGTGTGGATTAAAAACACAAATCAGATGACATTTAGAACCTGACAAGGAAAGAAACTGCTTATTAATTCAAACGGAGGCTTATTGGTGGATAAAATTGGAATCTATTCGTAACTGCTTTAACAACTTCCGCACCGACTCGCTAATAAGCGTTTTAGTAAATGGAAAAACACTTATCTGAGGAAACAATTCAAATCTTGCAGCTCTTAGAGACATTTATATTTCAGTGATGGTGTACGTGTGAAAGATGGCAAGCAGCAAACCGGCGCTAAAGACACAGTTAAAGCTTTACCTTGTGCGAATATCGCCGTGCTGTCGTATTGTGTGGTTATACTTGTTATGCTCCAGCTCTCTAATCTTTTCTCTCTGATGCACCAACATCATCTCATACTCATGCTTTATTGCTGACAGTAGAGGCTTGTACGTCTTAAAATCTTCTATCAAGTATTCAAATACTTCCCTAAAGGCCTGATATCAAAAAAAGAGAATGTAAAATTCTACTTTTCATGACAATGTTATGAAGGGTTTGTACCCTTTTGAGCTTTTCAAATTCTATGACTTTTTCCAAGAACTTTCCCAGTTTTCCATGACCTTAGGTTTGGCTTTCCTTTTCAAAAATTTCCTTATTTTTGGTATTTTTCTTTCACCTAACTCAGTTTAACAGACACAAACTCTGGTATCCACCAACACATGTGTCATTCACGCTATTTTATTTCTTGTCTCTGTCTTACTTTGTCCTTGCTTGGACATCTGCACTTAACTAATCTTGCAAAACATATATACAACATTTTCCATAACTTTCCATGACCAACAATAATTGTTGAAATATTTATTCTTAAATTTTATGACCTTCTAGGTTTTCTATGATCTGTATGAATGCTGTTATCGTCGTATAGATTCCATCTAGGATCAGTACAACAATCTAAACATACCTGCAGTCTTTTCTCACTTGGAACCATCTCAGCACAATCTAAGGAACGTAATTCTTTTTGTAAGAAGGCCTCAAGTTGTTCCAGAAACTTTGGCTTGTGCACTCCCTTGGGCATAAACTCATTTGTTTGTTTGGCCTGTCCAGGGTTTAGATCTGGAGCACTGGGACCAAGAGCATGTGCTGGCCATGTGTCCAAAGTCCCTGCCCTTGTGTCTATATAGGGCTGGAATACAAGTTAACGGAATCAAACCAAAAGCCATGGTTAATTTTAAATGCAAAATTGGAACAGACATTTAATATATTGTGTCAGAGCATTATGGCAATTGCTAATGTGTCATGCTCTCACAGGCTAAAATGGTTGTAGCGAACACCACCGTTTCCAAAAACAGCCTCTGTCACAGTTCCACAGTCGGTGGTACTGCTACTACCGTATCCTTGGATATTATTTAAATTCTTTGTGAACAGCTCTAATTCAATCAGTCTTGTCTTCAGGGTCTGTCTTCTTCCTTTCCTCTCTCTTGTTCAGGGGGAAGAGGAGAAAAAAGACCCTGGGAATAATTTCACCAAAAGGCAGGTGCATGCATAAATGTTGAAGCTTCGAGTTAACTGACTAACGCATAAGACAAAAAAATATTTATCTTAATTTATTATTTTTATTTTACTCTCTGGTATTCTGCTCAAACAAGATAAACCCAAGATATGAGTTAGAAAAATCATTTAGGACTATGATGAGAAACAAAATTTAAATTAACTTCTATACCTGCAGAACAGAAGCTGAAGGGAGTGCATACTTCTGAGCCCCTGATTGGCCTGTTAGAGTGTAACTTGGGCCCGTAAGTCCAGTGTATTGCTTTACAGCCTTGGTATTTGTGTAAGGAGAGTTTGTAAGAGACCTAGAAAGGAAATGACAAGATTAATTCATCGATCATCGAGCCCAGGTTTGTTGAAAGCAGCTCCCCAAATTATATTATATAATTATATTATTATTATTAAGCTTACAGGCTACATAAAACTATAAACTATTCCTACAAAACCTATTCCTATCTTTTCTGTTGCCACAGTATTAAGGTTACAAGCGCAATTTTCACAGTTAAAATGTTCAAAAGTACACTACAAACACAACAGTACACTGGGTTTGTATGAAAACTGGTTTAGAAGTTGAAGCGATTTTCAGCAAAACGATCATCGCACCAGTTAT